CCTCCTCCTCCTCCTCCTCCTCCTCCTCCTCCCTTGCCCCCCCCTCCTCCTGCAACTCCTCCCTCCCTCCGCCCCATCCCCCCGCTGCCCTGGCGGCAGGCGAGAGCAGCGGAGGCCCCCGTGCCAGCGACTGGCGCGGGGCGGAACGAAGAACGGGGAGATCAAGAGAGAGAGAGAGGGAAAAAAAACAGAGAGAGAGAGAGAATGTAGTTGAACAAGGACCGACCGTCACGCCATTTCTATAGGCCTACCACGGCATGCTCTTAGAACCCAGACATGCTCCAATCACAAAAACCGTGCTCTTAGAACGTAAGCCCCATGTGACAAGACAAGACATACTCAGTCAGAAATGTTTTAAGAACATGTCGTGCAAACCGCACACGTTTCTTAGAACAGTCTTTGGTAGGCCTATAGGCGAGCCGGGACGCTTCGCCACTGCTTGATGTAGACTGGCAGAGGGGGAGGCGAGGGGGGAGGAGAGAAAATGAGCAATCCCACCAGCGCGCTGAGGTATGTGTGATTGCTTTGCATCACTGACGCTTCTCCTTCCCAGCCCACTCACGACTCAGCTGGTCTGGATTACGCGACGCGTCAAGAGTCGAAGGAGAGAGATCGCCATGAGAAGCGGACGAGTGTGGCAAGGCGAAACTCATCTGAGGCTGCACCGACTGGGACTGCACAAGAGACTTCACTTCCTCTTGGAGGTACCGAGCCGAATCACTGAGCGGCACCGTTCACACTCCCTGGAATAAGAAGCGTCAAGAGATCTGCATTTGGAGGCTCGGCGGCGAGCCCGGGGGGAAGCGAGAAGGAGAAGGCCTTCTCAGAAGGCTCAGAAGCCCCCCGGTCTTCTGAGAGGCTTCCTAAGCCTCCTCAGAGGGCGCGATGGCTTCCGAGAAACCCCGCCACCCTCCGGGAGGGGCCGGCTCTTCCCCACTCCGCACCCTCGCTCGCCGTCGCCTGGACTGAGAGGCGTCCACACATCTGCACGCGGAGGTCCGCGCGGACTTCTTGGATCAGGGAGCATCGTTGATCCGATCCCTCTCCCCAGCGGCGTGGCCTGGGCCCCACTGGCCGATTTACCCCCCCCCCAGATGGGGATCTAGGCCGTATCTCTCGGGCTTCGAGGGGTGTATCCCCAATTGGGGGGTACTTTGGTGGGGGCCTCGAAGGGGATGGGGATGGGGATGGGGATGGGCATGGGGGTCGGTTAAACGACACTGGATCAGCGCTGGCCCCCCTCCTGGGCCGCGCTTCGCGAGCCACGGAGGCGGCGATGCGGCGCCGCCCCAGGGCGAGCCCAGCGCGGGCGCGCGAGGAAAAGCCGCGCGGCCTCTTGAAGACTGACATTTTGTGCAGCTGTGTGTGCACGGTTTCCCCCGGGGCCGTAGGCGACCCGAGGAGGAGGAGGAGGAGGAGGAGGAGGAGGAGGAGGAGGAGGAGGAGGAGGAGGAGGCGGAGGAGGAGGAGGAGGAGGAGGAGGAGGAGGAGGAGGAGGAGGAGGAGGAGGAGGAGGGGTGGGTCGCCTAAGCCCTTCGGAGAAGGCCTCCAGCTGTGCGACGTTCCCCCCTCCTCTCAGGAGGAAGTCCGCCACCGCGCTTGCAGCGGCGGGCGCGCGTCGGGCCCTCTCGCTCCCTGCGACGTAGCAACCGGGCCCCCCCGACGCATCGAGCCCAGGATGCGCCCACTCTCTATCGCCGCGTCCGCGTAACGTTTGCCTTCCAGGCAGAGAATGCACCGAAATACCAAGATCGGAGATGGACGTTCAATGGATTGTCCCCCTCCCCCCCGGCGCCCGCCCCCCCCCTCCCCGGCGCCCGCCCGAGCGCGGTGGCGAAATCGCGCGGCGGCGCCACTGGATGAGACTCGAGCTGCGGGGGGAGTGCCCGCCGGCCCCGCCAGCAAACTTCGACAGAGCCCAGTCTGAGGTCTGGCGCGACCTCCCGCTGCAAACAGCTACCGCCGTTTGCGAAATAAACGCCCATCTTAGGGATCGAAAACAAGACGACGAAGCACGCCCCCTTTCCCCCGTATTTCAAGGTTGACGGGGAGGGCTGGGCAGTCCAGCATAAGTGGGCGTTTATTTCGCAACGCTTCGCACTCCCCTTCGGCGTGTTCGGTGGCCAACATTGAAATGCGGGGCGCGGGGCGGGGATCTCGGTACTTCCACGCGTGGGCGTTTATTTCGCAAACGGCGGTACCGATCACAGGCGGCGGGCTCCGGAAACCCTAACGCCAAAACAGGTTGCCATCTCTGAGGGGGCGCGTCTCTTGCTTCCGCCGGCGCCTGCCGGCCTTCCGCCGGCGTCTGCCGACCTCGTGCTGCTTCCACCAGCTTCCGTCGACCTTCCGCCGCTCTTCCGCCGAGGAGGAGACGGCAACCTCCCGACCCCTCGAAGGCGAGGCCCGGGCGGCCCAGTCTGCACTGCCTCCCCTGGGCCGCCAGACGTGACGCCGGGACCGCCCAAGAGCGGCGGCAGACCAGAGGCCCAGCAAACCTACCTGGACTAGCGGTCCATGGATTTGGCGCGCGGCCTCCAAATCCGCATGGATCGGGGGAGGTGCCCCCCCCCGAAATGCGGCCGGGGCCGCCTCGCTCGGCGGCGGACATCCGCGATGTCCCTGGGGAGCGGGACCCGTCGCTGATCCCCGCCCCCCGAATCCATGTTGGCGATCGCCTCATTCTCCAGGGAGGAGGAGGAGGAGGAGGAGGAGGAGGCGGAGAGCGAGGAGGAGGAGGAGGAGGAGGAGGAGGAGGAGGAGGAGGATGAGGGAGATAAGGAGGAGGAGGGAGGAGGAGGAGGAGGGAGGAGGAGGAGGAGGAGGAGGAGGGGAGGGAGGAGGAGGAGAGGAGGATAAGGGAGAGGAGGAGGATAAGGAGGAGGGAGGATGAGGAGGAGGAGGAGGAGGAGGAGAGGAGGAGGAGGAGGAGGAGGGAGGAGGAGGAGGAGGCGGAGGAGAGGAGGATAAGGAGGAGGAGGAGGAGCAGGAGCAGGAGGAGGAGGAGGAGGAGGAGGAGGAGGAGAAGGAGGGAGGAGGAGGAGGAGGACAGGAGGAGGAGGAGGAGGAGCGGTGGGCTGGTGATTTCCCGGAGGCCGCGGCGCCTCAGCTCCGGCAGCTGGGGGTCCTCCGCGTCGAACTGGTTGCCCTGGAGGTTCAGGGCGGTGAGCATCGGCGCGCCGCCCACGTGCTCCAGACTGGCCTCGGGAGCGCCGCCCCGGGCCCCCGGGGGCGAGCCGCGAGGGACCCTCGCCATCGCTCGGGCGCCCATGCGAGCGTTTTTTTTTTTTTTGTATTCGGCGTTGAGGCACTGGGCGGCAAGGGGAAGGGGGGGGAGGGGGGAAGGGGGGGGGTCTGGCTCTGGACCTCAGCTCAGTGCGACTGTTTGCAGCAGTGCGGCCTCTGGGGGAGACCCCACCCGCTCGACACAGGCGCCAAAAAACAGCCAAGATCTACTCCATGGGGGAGGGAGGGGGGGGGTGGGGGCCCGCGCCCATCGGCAAAACAATGAACAAAAACACGATCACCATTCCCCGTGCATGCTCCGATTTCGTGCGCGTGTTTTCTCGCAGGATGGTCCAATAGGCGCATCGATGCTTCTCGCCGAAGGAGACCTGCTAGGGCCACGAACCCGGACCTTGGAGCATGTACGTGGGCACGGCCCGCGAGAAAAAGGGGGAGGAGGGGCGACAGCTGGGGGGGCCAGAGCAGTTCCCGAGTTGTGCGGCTGCCTCTTGAGGCCCTGCTGGGGCCCTCGGAAGAGGCGCGGCTCCAGGAAGGGGGAACCGAGAGGCGAGAGGCGAGAGAACCGAGAGGCCAGAGCATGACGAGAGGCGACAGGTACAGTGTGGGGGCCCTGAAGAAGGAACCCTTTTCGCTGGGGAGGGGCTCGGTGTTCCTTGATTGTTTCACAGCTTGCCCAAGGTTTTCCTTGAGCTTTCGACGGGATGTCGAAGGTTGACTTATGAAAAAAGGGGCCTCGTTCCATATTTAGGGTTCCTTAGGTCAACGCCTCGACTGTAGAACGAGAGACGACAGGCGACAGGTCGAACGAGGGGTAGCCGAGAGGCGACAGGTGGAACGAGGGAACCGAGAGGCGAAAACATGGACGAGGGGGGGGAGCAGGAGCGCGCCTGACGGGGCAGAATGGGGCGTTCCAAAGAGCGCAAGACCTTTCAAACACCTCGCATTCCCTCTTCTGTCCTCTTCCTCCTCCTTTTTCTTCTCCTCCTCCTCCTCTTTTGCTGTTCCGTTTTTCGAGAGGTGCCTCTCCTGCAGGCTTCCCGGGAGTCTGCACAGGCGCTCTAGAGGGCCTCTCTCTTGGGGTCACCTTGGGGCTCTCCCGGAGCCTCTTACTTGCTTTTGGGCCGTCTTGGAGATATCTGGGGTCATCTTTTAACACATGTACATATATATATATATACAAGACTTGAAGCTCGCTGCGCTTCGCTTGGAGGTCTTGGCACGATGCGCTGGCGTGCAGTGTGCGAGCGAAGTGCGACTATGCGGGCTGAAGCGTCGGCGATGGGCAAGGACGGGGATGGGAAGGTCACGGGCGCATGGGCGTCGGCCCATGGAGTGCGCGCGCGCCGTGCGCGCGCCGAGTTGGCAAGGGGCGATGCACGCGACGGTCATCGGCGATAAGCTTAGGCGGAGATGCAACGCCGAGGGCAGGGGAAGGGAGAGGGAGGCTTCGGATGAGGTGAATACAACGAAAAGGGTGCTGGCAACGATGGTGGCCTCATACCTCTGCAGATTTGGGTTGGGAAGGTCACGGGCGGCGACGCCGCACAATTTGGTGATGATGTTTTTTCTCACTGAATGTAGGGGCGATCCTGGCGTGGTGCTCTGCAAAATCGGAGCGGCGACGAACGCCCCCGAACCTGCTTGAAAAAATCGGCGTCTAGCTCAGCGTCCCGGACTTCCCGAGAGGAAGCGTTCCCGCGCCCGGTGCGCAAATCTGTACGGCTCGGTGGGCGGACCCTGCAGGGCACTTTACTTCTTGGACATCCTCGCTGGCTTCTTGGTCGTTGGGGCTGTCGGCGTCGCCGCTGCAGGGCGCTTGCGGGGCCCGCTGGGCTCTGCTGTGGGCGAGGGGAGCGCTGACGGTACGGTGTCCTGCGTGGGCGTGTTCGGCGCGCACGAGGCCCACGTGATGAACTGAGGGTACTTTTTGTGGAGGTTGAGCAGCGGGGTGAGCAACTTGTCCGGGACGCTACTCGCAACCAAGAAGCAGAAGTTGTGAAGCTCCTTGACTGTCTTGTCGGTGCCGTCCATCATCTTGAACTGCCTGGTGAGGCTGAGGCGGTTGTTGGTTTTGGCTGAAGTAATCTTGAAGCTCGAGTGTTTCTCATTCGCAGGGACCTCAAAGTCGGCCTCGAAGTAGCTGTGCGTGAAAGCGTCCGCGGTGAACTGGATGACGTGCTTGTGGGCGGCGGCGGCGGCGGTGCGCGGGCTCAGTCCGAAAGCCACGTGCACGTGCGCCCAGCTCGGATCGGGGTTCCCCTGGCTGAGCGCTCGTGCGAAACCGCACTGGGCGGTCTGAACTCCAAGAGGTGTTGGTGAGAGGTCGTGGGCGGCGACGGCGTCTTTCCACAACGTGGTGAGTCCATGTGTCTTGCGCTCGGCCCGGAAACGGAGGCTCGCGCCGTCTGCGATGGTGACGCGGATGCCGTTGGACTTGTGTTTGTTGATGTCCAAGAGCTCCACGTGGACGTGCTCAGTGTAGAGGGACACATACTCGCGGTTACCTGGCGCTTGCGCACCTGCAGCGGGCGATGCTGCTGGGGTCGGGGTGTAGTCGTACGTCGCGTTGGACGTCTTGGGAGCCATCGTACGAGGAGGCGCGGCCGATGGCTGTTCAACGGATGGGGCGGCGACGTCGGGCGTACCCAGAACGCAGAGGACGCTTAAGCCAGATGCCGATCGATCAATGCAGAATTTACACGCGGTGTAGCACGAGCAGGGACGGGCGCCCAGGACATGGGGAGATGTGAAACTGGCCAGGGCATCTCTCGTTCGCCATCTGAGGCGAGAGTGGCTGGACATTGAAGTTCAGACCTCTCTCAGGCCCAAATTGCGATTGCATCTGAAGCGAAATTGGACGGACCTCCTCGCGCGCGGCACGCGTGAGCTCAAACAGGGGAGGACTTCTGAGGCGAGACTGGCTGGAATTACTTTAGGTGGGGGCATTTCTTATCTCGAAAGTTGCTTGGGTCCTCAGGCGAATCTGGCTTGGAAGTTGCTGGGGTGTCTCGGCAGTTGCTTGGGTGTCTCGGAGTTGCTTGGGCGTCTGCGCGCGCCATCTCTGAGCCACAGTTGGCAGGAGTAATCAAGTGGGACTGGCCAGGCCACCTCAAGTTAGCGGCATTTTGAGCCCAAAGTTGGCAGGATGTCACAGGCGGAAATGGTCGGGGCATCTTTCGCGCGGCATCTCTGGACGCAGAGTTGCGAGGACGTCTCAAGCGAGAATGGCTGGACCATTTCAGGTCCGGACATCTTTCAGGTCAAAGTTCCGATCATGTCTGAAGCGATACTGGCCGCACCATCTTGCGCGCGGCACGCGGAGCCCAAATAGGGGAGGACGTTTGAGGGGAGACTGGCAAGGCCACTGCATGTGGAAGCATATCTGAGCCCAGCATTGGCGGAATGTCACAAGCGAAACTGGACGGACCACTTCGCTCGCGGCAGATGTGAGCCGAAATGCGGAGATGCTTCAGGCGACTCAGGCTGCACAACCTCGGGTGCCGGCATCAATGATCTTTGACTTGGGTCTCGTGGAGCCCTCTTCGGAGGCCTCTCGGAGGCCTCTTGGGCGGTTTGGGGGGCCTTGTGGGCATCATAGGCGTCTTGGGCAGATTATTCGGCTATTTCGGGCCCTTTGGACCGTCTTGGGAAGCCCAACTGGCGGGCCAGAGAACACCCAAGGGACACCTGGGGCCTCCGGGGACTGGCCAGAGAGAGCCCCACGGCCCCCTGCGGCCGCCAGATTCTATTGGGGGGGGGTGCAGCCCATCCCCGGGGATCTCCTGATGTGAGATAATAAAGATAGGAATATATATATATATATATATATATATATGTATACAGACGTGTCTATATATATATATATATATATACACACACAAGTGGCACGTGTGTGCCCAGGCTCATACAAAAAACTGAGAGGTCGTGAGGAGCAGGAGGCCCGACCAGGACAAGGATAGCTGCGGGGAGTGAAGTGCAATAGCGGGGTCGCACTCGAGCGCAAGCGGGGTTGCCACACCTTGCGATGTGTGTACCACGGGCCCCCGGGAAGCCTCAGGAGGCCTGACCAGGATGCCGGAAAATATTCCAGGAGGCCCCAGGAGGGGTCGTCTGGGATCGAGGTTGCGAGGATGTTCATGGAGGCCTCAGGAGGCCCGACCAGGAGGCCGCAAGAGGCTCCAGGAGGCCGAAGGAGAACGTCTGGGCTCGAAGTTGCGAGGAAGCCGATGGAGGCCGCAAGAGGCTCCAGGAGGCCCGACCAAGAGACCGCAGGCCCAAGGAGGCCCCAAGAGGTTCCAGGAGGCTCCGAGGCGGGGTCTTGGGTACCAAATGTACGTCGGGGCTCGATTTTCGGAGGATGTCTCAGGCGAAACCGCCTTTCTTTGAGAATCGGGGTCAAAATCATTGAAATTCCATTGTGTTTTTAAAGGTTTTATGTTAGAATGTTGAAATTCCAATGTGTTCTTGGACCCTGACGTCACGATCTGTGTGATGGGTGCCACCGATTTTCAGAATTTCGAGGATGTCACTAGCGAAACGGCAAGGAAAAATCGCGGACGCGGCGCAGCCTTCAATTCATCGCCTCTGAGCTCTACTCCCTCGGAGAGGTGCGTATGAGAATCTCTCTTTATAATTATATATATATATATATATATATAGACATACATATATATATATATATATATATATATATATTATTTGTTTAGGGGCCGTCTTGGGGCCGTCTTCGGGGCCTCGTCGGCCGTCGTGGAGTCTCCTTGGACCGTCCTGCCGGCCTCCGGGGGGCCTCTTGAAGCCACCTTTGGGGCAATCCGGAGGGCCTATGGGGGCCCGTCTTGGAGCCTTGGAAGCCAGGACAGGCAAGAACGCCGAAATCACGGGAACACCTAAACATAATCAATTATTTTGACCTTCTGGACCTCCCCTTGAGGCCTCGGCGAGGCGTCGAAACGGCTTCTTGGCCTTCAGAGGGTGTCTTGGACCCTCCCTGGGCAGTCGTGGGTCCATCTTGGGCCGTCTTTAGCATCTCTGGGGCCGTGCTGGGGCCGTCTTGGGGGCCTTGTGGGCTCTCATGGAGCTATATGGGGTTGTTTTGTGGGCCTCGTGGGGGCCTCTGGGTGTCTTCGGAAGACCTTCAGGGCAAATGTGCCGGTTTGGGAGCGTCGGAATCCCGAAAAGGCCGGACCGCCAGAATCGCTGAAGAACCGACGCGTGGGAAATCAATGATTCTGGCATCCTGGAGGTCCTCTTTGAGCCCTCTTGGATCGTCTGGAAGGCCTCTTGGCCTTGAGAGGCCGTCTTGGACCCTTCCTGGGCAGTCGTTGGTTTTTTCTTTGGGCGCTTCAGGGCTGGAGGTCTCTGGGGCCGTCTTGGGGCCGTCTCGGGCGCCTCGACTGTCTTGGGGCGATGTTGGCTGTCTTTCGGGCCTCTTAGGGGGCCTGCTGGGCCGCATTGGGGTGGGCTTGGGGGCCTGTGGGCCCGTCCTGAAGCGTTGTAAGTCTGAAAATGCGGGATCGCCCAAATCGTTGAAACACCTGAGGGGAATCAATACTTTGGGCCACCTGGAGGTCCTCTTGGAGTCCGCTTGAAATGTCTGAGGGGTCTCTTGGGCCGTCTGGAGGACATGTTGGGACGTCTTGGGCCCTCCTGGGCCTCTTCGAAGCTCGCCCGGAGCCGCAACTGCAAGTTGTTACCGTCTCCTGCCGTCTTGCGCCCTCTTCCGCCGTCTGCGGCCGTCTTCCGGCAGCCTCTGCAGGCCTTTCGTCTGCGGCTGGGACCCGATTTGGAGAGGGCCCCCTCCCCAGACCCCCACAAGGGGAGTACTGAACAGGAACCTCTCCGCAAGGTCGGGCACCGAGGGCAGTCACCCTTCCCCAGGGTGGGCGAGAGCGCGCGACAAGCACGAAGAACACCCGAGGGTCCCCTCCCAGAGCCGACCTCGACCTTCTGCTTCGGCTGCACGTCAGAGTGACCCTGGGCAAGAGTGACGCTCGGTGCGCGCCTCTTGGGGGCGCGAGGGGCCGCTGCCACAGGCCCCAGAAAACATGGGCGAACACTCACACTCATGCCGCATTCATCCGTCAATGCCTCCCCCAAATGATCCACGTCGGCGGTGAGTGGAATGAGCTGCACTTCGACCGCAGCCTTCCCCGCGCGCGCCAACTTTGGGCCTGGGGGGGGTCGGTCCGACCGGTTCGCGGCGTCCGGCGGCCCTCGCCGTGCCCCATCGGGCCGTGCAGGCACGACCCGGGGCGAAGCACTGGAGCAGGGCGACGAAGGTATCCACTGCTCCCTGGCCGGGCCCATCCTGAGCCCAGTAGCGGTGTACACGCCGCGTCCTCCTGGCTTGGCCAGGAGGGCGTGTGCGCAGCTCCTGAGCCCGGGAAGATCCAGGAAGGGCCCTGCCAGGGGGGCCGTGGACGTGCGCAGATTTCGTCGCCCGACCGAGCGACGATCAAAAACGGGTCTTACGCGAGATGACACAGCGACCTTACGCCGCAGCTTACGGGGGCCGCCAACGCGGCACGCTAATTTGGAGACGAGGGCGCTCACGCGCGACCTCACGCGATCAGCTTACGCGTCAATGCAGGCACAATGGAACCCGTTTTTAGGCGTCGCTCACTTGTCCCTGGGAAGGGGTCAAGAGCTCCAGGGACCCCATGCCCGAAAAAAAAGAGCAGCTGCAGATGGAAGGAGGGGTCCGCCCGAGAACCCTGGCGTCATGATGTTGTCACAATGTCGACCCCCGGAGTTCTGGATCCTTCCCCAGGGACCCGTTGTTCATCCTGGGTGGCTTTCTCACGCTCACGTCCCCGAGGCCCAATGAGGGCCCCAAGGGGCCGAAACCGGCCCACAACCTCCCGTCGCGATTGATTTCACGAGGCGATGGTTCCCCCTCCGCCTGCTCCTCCTCTCAACTATCGAAGGCCGCCCCCCCCGTCGCCGCGGCCGGACCCGCCTCGAGCATCCCAGTCAGGGCGCGCTGGTTGGGGGCTCGGCGACTCTGAGGGGGGGGACGGCTGCAGAAAGGGGAAGGGGGAGGAGGAGGGGGAGGAGGAGGAGGAGGAGGAGGAGGAGGAGGAGAACGCCACAGCTTCGCCGCTCAAGTTCGCGCAACGTCAAAAATGAGGAGGAAAAGGAGGAGGAGGAGGAATGCTTCATGAAGATTCAGTGTTCGGCTATGCGCGCCGCACGGGATCCACCCAGAGGGGGCCCGTGAGACGGGGAGAAATGATGGACGAGATGCAAGGGGCCAGAGCCCGAGAGAAACAACGCGGAGAGGAAGGGGGCGTTGCCGCCGCTGCCGCTGTCGTCGTCACCATCTGCGTCGTCCTCGCCCTCGTCGTCATCGTCGTCACAGTTATGGTCATCGTCGTCGTGTCCGTCGCCGCCGCCGCCGCCGCCGTCGCCGCCGCCGCAGCCGCCGCAGCCGCCGCCGTCGCCGTCGTCGCCGTCCGTCGTCGCTGCCGCCGTCGTCGTCGTCGTCGTCGCCGTCGCCGTCGCCGTCGCCGTCGCGGTCGCCGCCCTCATCCTCCCCCGCCGCCTCCACAGCCTCGCCCTTCCGCTGCTGCTCCTCCTGGGCTCCTGCCCCCTGCGAGCTGTGAGCCGCGGGCTGTGCCACCACGAGCGTTCGAAGCCCTGGTGGCCTCCTCCTCCCCACCCTGCTCCTCCTCCTCCTCCTCCTCCTCCTCCTCCTCCTCCTCCTCCTGCTCATCCTCGAGGTCCTCGACCGACCGACCGACCCCCACCTCCCCCCACCTCCTCTGGTCATGGGAAAACCGGGAGGCCTTTGGCCGTTTCTGGCCACCGGGGGCCCTCAGCGGGGCCTCGGGGCCGCCCGAACACGGCCCGGGCAGAACAACCGGCCGGGGGTCGGCGCTGCGAAAAGCCAAAGCCCTCGGAGGTGCGGGTCCCCTCCTTCCCCCTCCGTGCCCCCTCCAAGCCGCGAGGCAATGCTACGGATGTCGGCGGCCCGGCGCGGCCCCGATGCCGACCCGGCTGGCCCGAAGGAAAGAGCTCGCACCACCCGGAGGTGACCTCCGATCGACCGGCGGATCGACAGGCTGTCAGAGCCGTGGGCTGATGGGCCCCCAGACCTCTGGGATCCATTGGAGTCAAGACGGGGGGCTCTCGCCATGCTCGGCCTCTCGGGGGTAGCGCGCTGTGGGAAGATCGGGGGACGTTCGGGGGCCTGGGCCAGGGTCACCTAAGAGCCTGGCCAGCTGGTTGCTGCTAACGTCGAGGCTCTCCAGGCAGGGCGTGCTAAGCCCCTCTAGGGAGGTCAGCTGGTTGCCCGAGAGGTTCAGCACCTTCAGGCTCCCCATCGGGCCCATGCCCTTCAGCGTGGTGAGCTGGTTCTCCTGGAGCTCGAGCTGCTCCAGGGCTGGGTGGCCGCCGAAGCCCTCCAGGGACGTTATGGCATTCGCGGACAGGTTCAAGAACCTGAGGCGTGTCAGGGCAGCCAGCGGCATCACTGCCTCAAGCTTGTTCGAGGACAGGTTCAGCCTCTGACACCAAGGCAGCTCAGCCTCCTGCATACACTCCAAGGACGTAACCTCGTTGCTGTCAATCTGCAACGTCAGCAGGTGCGGCATCTTGGTGACGGCGCCGATGTCGACGAGCTTGTTCGACGAGAGAACGATGTGCTGGAGCTGCTTGTAGTTTTCGACCTTGTTGCCCAGGTTGGTGAGCTCCTTGTTGGAGCCGTCCAACCTGGTGAACGCGAACCCACCATCCACAACCTGCTTTATCTGCGACAGGCACTCGCAGAGGATCTCGTGCGTCAGAGGCTGGAACCTTCGATCCCACTCGAGAGAGCGTTTCCGATCGTTCGCAACAGCGGCCGTCACCGGCCGCGGCCGCCCCCCCCCTCCCCAACCCCCAGAGTAAGGTCACGATTCGGGCTGACGCTCGAGCTGCCACGGGCTATTCCTGACCGTACATGGACACTATATTGGAACCCTTACACATTCGAGGGAGATTCTAAATCACCCCCGCGCCCCCGACATCAATGTTGATCTGAGTAGAGGCGGTGCTTTGGGGTTCGAGTATTTCTGTCCACTCACGCCCCCCCCCCGTCGCCACGCCATCAATATCAATTTCGGGGGGTCCGGGGGGCATCTTGGGCCACAGGGTTCGAATACAGTGTCCATGTACTGGAGCCTTCCCAGACGGCGCTGGCGCGAAACGTGACGGTACAGCCCCCCCCCCCCAGTTCGGGTGTTGCTAGAGGCTCCCCTGGCCCGATGGCGCCCAGGATTCTTGGGGGGGCCCGGACGGCCTCCAGAGCACCCCCTCCCGAGGCCCAGAGGGCCTCAGCGACTCCAGAAATGGAGCGCCCCTTGGGCCAGGAGCACCCCCAGCAGCGCCCCCCCTTCCCAGACCCCCGACGTAATGATTTTTTCATTACGTCGACCCCCAGAAGTCCCGACCCTTTCCCCATGACCGGCTTTGCATCCTGAGTCGTTTTTTGACGCTCCCGAGGCCCGGTGAGGGCCCCCGGAGGCCGAAAATCAGGAAAAACCTCCCGTCATGATTTTTTCATTACTCGAGGGGGTCTGGGTTTGGTGACGCCCACTATCGCCTCGGGAATAAAAAAGCGCTCCCCTCCCCCCGCATCTGCACCGATCTGCGGCCGCGCCCCGCTCCCCCTCCGACCGGCCCGGTCCACCCCACGGCGTCGGGCGACCTGGCCAGTCCAGCGCGAGGCGGGGACCTGTCCAGATCCACCGCGCGGGGAGCCGATGCCCTGGGACTAGAAGGGGGGCGGTGGACGTGCGGGGAGAGCAGTGATCGTGTTGGGAGGAAGGGGTCGGGAGGATGACGGGTATGAGCAATAGCACTCGGATGCAATGCGCGATACCCTCGACCGCCTACGGGTGCGTAATGACATCCTCATTTCTCCCAACCCAATCCTCCCAACCGGATAGGTGTCTTCCTGAATGTGGATATACGGTGGGGAACCGTTGCTTAGCGTGTCGAGGCCGCGGCCCCAGCGACACGCGACGCCCTGCGAGCGGATAGCGTGTCGCTCCGCTCCGCGGGGCGGGAGGCTCGGAGAAGCTCGGGACGTTGGCACTGCGGGGCCGGGAAGTGGATAGCGTGTCGCCCCGAACGAAGAGTGGTGGGCCAGAACCGGCGGAGCGACACGCTGTCCAAAAGTCCCCGACCGAACCTGGGCCCCAAGGGGCTCGACTACATCAAAACATCCACCGCCTGCCGAGGTCCTCGATGGTTGGCCCTTCAGGCGGTGGGTATGAGCAGATCCTCGCCTGGGAATAGGGGGCCCGATCGACCACCACGGCGCCGATCGACCGATGGATCCACCGCGTCGGCAGCCTGATCCACACCTCCGCCGCCGACCGAGACCGGCGAAAGCAGACCGATCCGCGTTCCCGCGGTCTGGACCCCGGGGCGCGATCCCGTGGATACGCGGTCGCGCGTCGCACGGGCACGTCCCGCGCGGAGCATCTGCGAACAAGAACGGCCCCCATCCTCGGCGTCATACCCCGGGGTCAGGTCGGGCACGTCCCCCTGTACAGGGAGATTTGGAACGAGAAACTAAACATACCCCGAAGATGACCAAAAATACTCAAGCATGGCCCCCGGACTATCACTTGACTATTTTTGAATGTTCTTCCTGTCGAGAGACAGGCCCGACCTAAGCCCAGGGGCCCGGCCCGCGAGGCCGCGGATATGGACACCTGGTCCGACCACGAGAGACCCACGCCTCCGCCGCCGAGATCTGCCCACAGCGTGAGCCTCAGCGCTCGATCTTGCGAACATCCGACCGCTCGGGGGCCGCCACAGGTGCCCCTGGCTCTCAAGGCGCCCCCCGCTTTTCACTCCATTCTTAAGCCCCTGCAGCCTTCTGGGTCTCGTGAGTGGGAGGCCACGTGCGAACCCTACCCCCCCACCCCCCGCGACTTCTGAGGGGGAGGAGGGGGGGGGGTCCCTTCGCTCGGGAGCTCCTGCACGAAGCGAGAGGCCCCCCTCCGCATGCCGCCCCCCGGCGATGGGGTGCTCGGGAGGCCGCTCGGGGGCCCTCCCCGGCAATCCCGGGAGCACCCCGGGCCGGGGACGCTTCCGGCAACACCCCAAAAGAGCCGCTCTTGGGGCGTTGCCGGAAGCGCCCCCGACCTTGAGACTCCAAGGTCGATCTATTGTGCGGGGTCGAACTATAATGCGGGGGTTATACTTTTCTGCGGGTCGATCTATAGTTCGGGCGCGCCGAAAATAGTTCGACCCGCCGTTTTGGGGCAAACGGGGCTTCAGCGCCCATGCTCGCGCTCACCCCACTGGGAGGGGTCCAACATATATTTGAGCCGACAGCAATGAATGACAACGATACACACAGAAGCGTTCTTTTCAAAGCATGCGCACAATCGGCTGGCCGCAGAACTTAGAGATGCATGCCACCGAAAACGCTCTCATGGACCTCCTTTGGCCCCTCCTTCGGCCAAATGCAGCTACAGATCCACCGAAATCCTCATCCCTATAGTTCCAGTGCTTCGCTGGTTCACCGCCGCCCATGCACAGCTCCAGAAACATGTGCATTTTAGGCTTCACTTTAAAATGGGCAGGAAGCGCGTCTTGCAAAGCGGCCGTCTGCGTGGCAAACTTACTCGAATGCTCTCTAAGAATGTCCACAGCAAATGGGTGATTGTCAGAGAGTGCCTCGTAACACCGACATAAGCTTTTCATCCCTGCGTGAATGGACGATTCTACAGCTGCCCGCTCGTCGACGCCATTCCTCCTATCAAGGAAAGCCTCCGCCATCTCCAATGCCCATGGAACCATGTGCCTGAGCATCCCCGCGCCGCACCTCATCTTAGCCGTCGTTGCTTTTTTTCCTTTCACAGCGCCCCGCGTCAGTCTCGATAGGCGGCTGGTCTTCTCACCTGGCGGCTGCCTGTCGTAGAACGCCATCAAATGACCATGTAGTGTGGAGACGCGGCCTTTCTGGGTAGTTCCAGCCACCTTTTTGTGCGTTACAAGATACCATAGCAAACCCCCTATGAAGTCAGCCGCTACTCCAAGATCAACAACGTGTAACCAATCTAGCTTCAGCAACTTTTCGTTCGCATACGGCACTTGGAAGAGAGGGCGCACCCGCTCGCCTGAAACGATAATCTTCGCAAGGACTTCTGGCCATGTGCGTCGGTGCGTTCTCCGCGGCGCGTCTCTCCCAGTCTGCGATTTCACCTGCGGGGAGTAGCCAAAAACACTCCTCCTCCTCCTCCTCCTCCTCCTCCACCCCTCCTCCCCCTCCTCCTCCACCCCCCCTGGAAGGGGCCGCAAAACGACGACGACGCACCCCCTCCCAGAGGGGATTTCCTTCCTCCCCTGATGTGTTGCGCTCCCATGGCCTCGTCCTTCTTGATGTTGCACAGGAAGCATACTTCGTCATCTTGCCAGCCAGGTAGCTTGAGCACCTCCTTCATCATCTTCCAGTCCCCTTTGATCTGGCAAAGCACTCCGCCAATTGGTAGGGTTGCATCGGCCACTTGTCGGCGCTTCCTCCAGGCGTCCTGCGCGCCGAAGGGAGAGCCGTCGTGCCGTGCCGCCGGCCAGCGCTTCGCAGCCAAGTGAACAAAGCTCCACTGCACCACTGCAAAAACATCATCAAATGTGTTGGGGCCCACGTGCTCTTTGAGGAACGCTGTGATTGGGACCCGCAGGTTTTTCCAGCGCCCCGCAGCCCCTGGCAACATGAGGCTGATGATCTCTGCGCTCATCGATCGGTCCCAAAAGCAAGGGACCCCGTCCTGCCACGCGCCCAGGGCCACCAGGTCGTTGCAACCACTCTCCGCCCTGGCTCTTTGCACGTGGCGCAGAGACACGCCGTCGAGACTCGACGTCTCCAGTAGCACGCTCCGCTCGCCAAAATGATGAAGTTGATGAAGTATTTCGTGAGGAAGCATCATCGCTAAGTCCATCAGTTGTTCTGTTTCAGACTTGGGGTCCCAGCCCCTCACCTGGCAGTGATAGAGCGGAGGCCACCCTTTCCTGAAGAAATCCCGCCTGAACTTCCTGGCAGCGTTTTTCATGCCCGACGTTGACTCCGCAGTGTGCAGGTCGGAGAGACCTGTCGCAGATGCAGAGACGCAGTCATTGATCAGCTGAGCGCCGCGCTGCCCGCTGACCACGTTGCTGCTTATCAGGTCCTGCACGTTCGCTCTCAGCCGCCTCTCCGGCGGCAAGCCCAACCTGTCATAAGGCAACCGCCGCCTGGAAAGCATCCCGCGGGGCCCGCGGGAGACAGGCGCGAGCGCGGCGGCCTTGAGCCACTGCAGTGGCTACGGACATGCGCGGCTGAGGCAAGGGGCCCTTGCCCTTTCCCGCGCCCCTCCTCCGCGCCCTCCTTCAATCCCTTTCATGCCCCTCCCCTCCTGCTACTCCCCTCCTGATGATACCAAGCCCCCCTCCCCCCCGCCCCCCCCTCCCCCCACGCCCCTGCGATGAGGGGGGCTTCTTTACTGGCAAACCCAGAAACACGCGGCCCCTCACGAAGGGGCACCCCTGGCAGAGGAAGCGGCAAGTTCTCGTTTTCCCACGGGCGTCGGAAAGGCAGCGCTGCATGCGCGTCGTCGGGCGAGGCAGAGCATCTCAAACCCTACTGCATATATGCATGTAAATACTGATATGTAGATGTAGATGTAGGGCCGCAGCTCAATTGAGGAACTTCTTGAAGCGCTTGACCGAGAGCTGAATGCCCTCGTACATGTGCTCGTGTGTGTTGTAGGCGGCCTGGACCTCATTCTTCAGCTTATCGTACATGTCCGTGTCCTTGCCGA